GCCACGGTCACGTCCCCGTAGGGGTCAAGGAGGGACCGGTCGTTCTCGTGCAAACAGACGGAGAAGAGACATCAGCGAATGTTCATGAGCCTCTTCCTTTATCCTTCACTCACTGACCTTTGGGGCCGCCAGGATGTCACTATGCGATCCATGCACACCAGCCGGCGTCAATGGGGTAGGAGAGGCCCACAGATATAAAACGTAGACAGCGATCCATCTGCACACACAGACACGGGGCGTGTTGATCAGTCGGCTTTGAGCGCTCACACACATACCCCTTGCAGATGGCTGGGACAAGGCATCGCGATCCAAAGTTGTCATCAGTCGTCAAATATAAAATGTAGACAACGATATCTGAAGGCAAGTAGATCACATGGCCCGTCGACGGCCTCGATGGCCGCCAGGAGCTCCCTCCTGGTTGTGCGGGGGCTCGGGTAGGCGGCGCTTGCGACTGAGAGCCAGTGGTCGCTCGTCTTCGTCGTCCCCCATGGCCATAGGCTGCTGCTGGACGACGGGAAGACGGAAAGAAAGGACAACGGACAGAGGAGTGAGTGCCTTTCTCGATCGACCTGTGAGGTGCCTGCCCTGCCTACCCACCAACGTCGCCGGCGTCGGGCGATGGCACCAGCTGGTCGCCAGCGTTGCCCAGCCGGCTGCAGCTGCAGGGCCGCCAAAACCTAGATAGACACACACACCCCAGAGAGAGCATTGCCAGTGTGCGTACGTGTGTGTGTGGGTGCGTGTAGTCTGTTCGCTCACCGATAGCTATCGCATCATGGATCGGGTCGCCAACGCCATCATCGGCCGGCGGGGGCGGGGCAGCGGCGCATGTGGCCGAGCTTGGCCAGCTCGCGCCGCATGACGGCGTCGAACTGCCCCGCCAGCTCGACCTTGAAGCTTGCCGCCTGCACCCCGACCCCCCCTCCCCCCGCCAGCACGTCCTCGTCGGCGGCTCCCTGCAGCACCCTCGCCGCATCCGCCAGCTCCCTCCCGAGGGGCAGCTTCCTCCCGTCGACGAGGGCCACGCCACGCATGTCGATGGGGCTCCTGCGATGGACAGCGCGCCCTTCTCCGGCTGCTGCTGCTGCTGGAGGTGTGGGGCCACCGATCGTATGGCGGCAGGCATGGCAAGGTCTGGGTCGTTGACCTGCTTCTGGCGTAACGCTCGGGGGAAGAGGGGAGTCTGTGCGGCAGAGGAGGGCTCGGTGGGGCTTGGCTTGCCCTTCTCGCG